CTAGACTCTGTTAGTTTTTGAAAAATTCCCATGGGAAAATAACAAAGGCTATTAAGTTCTTCAAATAATTCCATTACACACAGATATGTCACTCAGTGGCTAGATAAATATAAATTTACTAAGGGACTGTGTGTAATTTTAGAAAGTTAAAATGGTACTTTTTCCTATTCTTACACATATACTTTTCCATCTTTTGCAACCATGACAGCTAGCATTTATTGAGAATCTACTATGCCTGACCGTCTGTAAAGGGGTTTGCACATGTCCCGTAAATCTGTGTCACAACCTTAAGAGCATGGTAGTATCCCCCCCAGATGAAAAAACTGGAGTTTAGAGAAGTTCAAAACTTTTCTCTACATAATACAGCTAGCAAATAACAGAGTTTGGGCCTGCAGACTGCAAAGTTTACATTCTCTGTCCTAAACTATCTTCCAAAACAATGTTTAAAGTCTATATAGTTTTCAAATATATGATGTACTATAATTTTTAAAGCAATCATTTATTGTTGGATACCTAGATTGCTTTTCTAATTTTTGCTATTATAATCAATACTGCAAAATAAATATTTGCACCCATATTTGATGATTTCCATAGAATAAATTTTAAGAAGTGGAATCACTGGGTCAAAAACTATGAACAGGTAACCTTCTCTGGAATCATGCTTGTAATCAGCATTAACCAAGAGAGCTTAACTAACAACCCAGATATATATATACACACAATGCAAAGCCATAAATAAAAGCAAATATTCTAAGTCTTTCACTAAATATATTTTCAAAAATATGGGTGAGGAGGGGACACGAGGGGGAGAAGCTGCCAATGGTGGCTTCAGGGACACCAGGGTCATCCGAAGTCCTTGGTGTCCGTCCTCCTCTTGGGAAAGCAGTGGATTTGGGTCAAGGGTGGTGTTTAAAATTAACATGTTGTCAGTGACTAAAACAGCACTGTTTACATAAAAAACATTTTCCTAATTCTAACAAGTTAGAAATGAAAGGAAATGAGCATGAATGTTTAGGAGACTGTTTAGGGTGCTGGGCCAGCGTTCCCATGCTGGGGTGGCGGTGTCTCTGCTCGTGGAGTTGCTCTCTTGTCCTGCCCCAAGTCCCGTTGGGGTGTTGCTGGACAAGTCTCCTGGTCCTGTCCACATACAGGAAGGAAGAAAGGATTCCTGAAGAGTCTTGGAGAAAAGATTTTATGCCTTCAGGTGGGGCTTACCCCCTCATATTTATAACCTTAATTTATACGGTGACCAACCTCGGTGGAAACAAATGCCTCTTCTATTGTTATGTACATAGTGCATACCTGACTGTTGTAAATAAGTTGTTCTGTGTGTATAAATAAAACAAGCCTGTTTTTGATCTTCCCTAAATAAATAAATACACTTACTACTTTACTTATCTTTATGTATTTACCAGCCAGGAAAAAGTAGAAGGAAAATGGATAACTTTCTTAAGAAAAAAAAAAAAGACGGTCTTTTGGGGACAATGTGTCTCACTGCTTGACTGACTTAATTTTGAGTATTTAATAACAAGGAAAATGGAGGAGGAAAATGGATATCTTCCTGTCTTAAGATAAAAGGGCTTATCTTCCAGGTACAACATGGCACTCTGCCAGATGCAAGTTTTGTGTTTTTTGTTTTTTTTTTTTTTAATCTAGGAGCAAAAATGGTCAGGTATGCAAATCACTGATTCAGTCCCTCTTGGAAGTTTCCAAGAAGGTACAGAGAAAGGAGCTTCCCTGACAACTCTTTAGTCATCATACCTTAGTAACAGCTGCCACAGGCACGTGTGTTGGAAACACACAAGGCGGCAGGACTGTGAGCATATTCTGCTGCCCTGTGCCCGAGCACGGAATGAACGTACTTTTCTTATCAGAGCCTGTATGTTCCTGAAAACCTTCCCATCTCACAGTTAGGGCATATTGCTGGTTTTTAACTAGAGTCCTAGTGCAGTGTAGAAAGGGAAACAGATCATTGTCATGATACCCTCATAGTTACTGAGTCAACAATATAATATTCTAAATGAGAAATGGGAGACCTTGAAGAGTTGATGATACAAATTAAAGTGCCTGCCACAGGAAATGTTCCTGCAAAGAGAGGAACCTCAAATCAGAAGCCCTTTGATCTGTTCTCCAACCTTTTGAAAGACAATAAAAGTACCCAGCTATGTCATCAGCAACAACTTACTTCATTACTCAGAGATATTAATAAAACAAATCACAAAGATGCATTTAAAAGAATCCAGACTTCATAAATAAGGGGCTTCGTTGTGCTGGGTTTTTTCCCCATTTATTTCTCTGTTATAATTTTATGAATTGTTCCTCCTTGTTATTACCAAAATTATTTTTGTTCATGTAAAAGATACATTTCTAAATTACTGCTATTGACATATAACTATGTTATAAATATTATTCCATTGCTATATTCACAGGGGGTATTATTATAAATACACTTTCAAGGTATATTGAAAGCAATGTGCAGTTCATTTAAGAAAGCCAGAGTAAATGGTGGAAACAGAATGCAGGAATCTAGTTTCTGAGCCTAATATTCTACCTGTATATGCTAGCCCTGCCGGCTCAGAGTTATACCAGTCTCAGGGATTTGTATCAGGTTGTTGGGTATTTACTAGGTCACCTGGATTTTATGTCACTCTCCCATAGTGATATAGGCCTACACAGCAAGTATCATTCAGCAATGGGGAATGTATCAAAGTCCAGCCAGGAAGACACAAACCATGTGAGTAAGCAGAAGGAATTTAGCCCAGAAACTTGATTATACAGGTGATGGGAGAGCTAAGAAGCAAAACAGAAGACAATGGAGTAACCCAGAGATTCGCCACAGCAGGAAGCCATAACTATGCCTAAGCCAAAGGGAGAAAGAAAAGAGGAAAAGTCACCACGGCCCAGGGGCCCAAGTCAATAGGCAGACGCTGGAACCACAGCAGACCTGCCGTGCTCCAGCTGAAGCCATTAAGAAGACCCAGCTGCTGACAGAGACACTGTGGAAAGAGAGCAACTTGGAGGGAAATGCCCTAGATTTCCCTGCTTTACACCCTCCAGTTGTCCACAGTGCCTCCCATTGGTTGAAGCCAGTGAGAGCCAACTATCCTGGAGCCTGGGAAACCCAGCCTGCAAGGGGCCAGCTCCCCTGGCGTACAGAGCAAGAGGGAAGAAGTGATGAAAAGTAAGCCAGACCCATACGATAAGGAAGAGGGTGTCAATAAGTTAGTGTTGGTGTGCCTTCAGTCGATCACAGTGCCAGATAGGCTGTTGGCTGGGCTGGCTTTCATGTTATCTGTCCATGCATTCACTTGTATTTCTACTGAAGTCTTGGTTTCCTAGATTTAAGAGACCAAGTATTTACTGGAGAGCCTATTGTTTGACAGGAACTGTTTTGATGTTGTTTCACTTTGTTTTGATTTTTTTACTGGATCCGGGAGAGGGAGGATTAGAAGTAATGCTCACCCTGCAACATCCTGGAACTAGAATAAACTGGCAATATGTATTAATAAATTGGCCTCACTTCCACCAAAGTATAAAGTGCCCTCAAGTGGGAAGTTTTAGAAAGACTTCTTGTAGCACAAATCCTTCCTCTGTTTTTGCCTCTTGTGTGTACATTACTGGCTACAATTCTGAAACCAAATAAGATGTGGCTTAGTACTCTTTACCAAGCATACATTTTTACTCTCTATAGTATGCCCTTTAATTTGTTTTCCAGAAAGTTTTCTGATGTTAAAAATTGCAAGCTATAACTGAAGAGAGAATAAGAATATTGATTGACATTTTTATTTTTTCAGACTGTCAATTCTGCTTTGGCCAGGAGAAATAATTTAGTAAGTGAATCTGTTTCAATACATAACTTTTATTATTTTTTCATGACTCTTATTAAAAGGAAAACCCTCCACCCACTAAATAAATTTTGAATAAATACAGAAAGAAGTATATACTCATTAGTCTGCTGTGGAGACCCAGTGTCTTAGATTAGCCCTCATCCTAGCCCTGCTGTTGTTGGAATCTTGCTTAAGTTTCTCCAGGTGTATTTTCTCTTTTGTGAACTGGAGCATGATATCTAGAATAGCTGGGCCAAAACATGTGTGGTGACTCTAGAAGAATTTACACTTTTTCAGGTGGTAATGGAAATAGCAGAGCCCACCAGCCTGGACAATGTGTCTAGAAGCCAGGTTCCTTGAGAAGTTGCCAAGTCAGCTTAGTAGAGTCCTGCCTTGCCCAAAGACTATACGGAAAGAGGAGGAGGATGTAGGAGTTCTAATAATAAACACTTGCAAAGCAAATTATTGCCCAAAGATTGATAACAATTATCTAGTAACTTTAATTTTTAAAAGTATTTTATAAAAAAAAATACCTGTAGACATTGAGCTCCTTGATGTCAGTAGTATACACAGGCTGCGCCTAAGACACATAAGTGACAGAGAAGAACAAAGAATGAAATTCTGTTATTAAAATGTTGGTGCTTATCAACATCTAGAGTTAGAGGATATCCATAGCTTCTAAAAAGAACTGATAACTAGCATATCCCTGAGATCTCCTTTCATAAGCCAGAGGAATTACCAGCCACTCTGCAGAGAAAGGCCAACTTCTAAACAGAGTAGTTGGCATATAAAGAAATACTAGCAGCCCCTCCTTGCTTAAAAACCCAACCGGCAAGGGGTCAGCTCCCCTGGCATACAGAGCAAGAGGGAAGGAGTGATGAGAAGTAAGACAGAGACCCAAACTGTAAGGAACAGGGTGTCAATAAGTTAGTGTTGGTGTGCCTTCAATCGATCACAGTGCCAGATAGGCTGTTGGTTGAGCTGGTTTCATGTTATATGTCTATGTATTCACTTGTGTTTCTGTTGAAGTCTTGGTTTCCTAGATTTAAGAGACCAAATATTTACTGGAGAAGCAGACCATCCTCAGGTAGAAATCATACGACAAACAAAGTGCGTTGAAGGAAATCCCCTTTAACTCGATGGGATGGCGTCTAGGGGAAAACTGTAACACAATTAAACTTGACATATGAAAATAAATAATATATAAGTCTAAAGGGTGGTTGGCCAGCAATTCATTTATTTATCGAACAAATATTTATTGAGTGCTTGTCATGTGCCAGGGCTGGTGATGTAACGGTCAAAAAATAAAACAAAACAATCAAATAAAAACTGACTACGCTGGAGCATACATTCTGGTGAAGAGAAACATACTAAATAAATTAATATGCAAAGTTAATCAGGGGGTGGAAGATAGGAAATACGGGAGAGATGGCAGTTTTTAATACATTGATCAGGGAAGGACTCACTGAGAAGAGGTCACTTGAGCAAAGACTTATAGTAGGTGAGGAAAGTAAGCAGATATCTGGGGTAACATGACCCAGGGGGAAGGAATAGCAGGGAAAGCACCCTGAAGCCTCTGGGGAACAACGAGGAGGCCACTGTGGCCTGAGCAGAGTGAACCAGGCAGACAGGGGCAGAGAGTAAAAGGAGCTAGATCATGCAGACAGGGTGACCATATAATTTATTGTTCAAACTGGGACACTTTTGTGAGTGAAGGGGGGGAGGATCCAAAAATAATTCATATTATATAACTTCTGAAATATGTATTTATTGACAAAAAATTTAATTTTATTATCTTGATGGACCTATAAAATAATTCTATTGAAAACATATTTTCAACATAAAATTTTCCTAAAATATTTTTAAATGACATAAAGCTATGAACATTAAAAAAAACAAAGTAAAAAAACTAATAATGATTATCTGAACATTTTTAAATGGTATAAATAGTTATTCTCGATATATAGTTACATACTTTAATTGATTACTTGGCCGTTGTCTCTAACATTGTGATGTGAACATTTTTCTGCAACATGTGCTTTTTTTTCAATACAGTGTTATTGTTTTCATAAAATTGCAATCTTCTTCGAAGCCGCGTTTTATGGTTAATATATTTGAAATTGTTGATACTTTTAATTGATGTTTCTCTGTAAACTGTAATGTTTTTAATTGAAAAAATAATCCCTTTCTAGATATTGATGAACCTATAAGTTCAGAGCAAATTCTGCTAAATAATCTTCTTAATTCCATCTTTTATATTAAAGTGTGTAAATATTTCAGGCCAATATTTTAATAGGTGCAGCCTTCTGCCTTCATCCAGAGCACCTTTACTCAACAATATTCTTACAAGACAAAACTTTCAAGTTGTCTCTGTGATTCTTTTGAACATTTCACCAAACATAGATACTGCAAAATCAGAGCCTTTTACAATTTCATTCCACTCTGGTGGAGAGGAAGAATTGATCCAATTAAAATTAGAGTGAAAATTTATCAAAGTCAAGATTTTTCTGAAGCACAATTTTCAAATTAGGTAATTAAACCATATCAGATTTCATTTTTTGATTTGTTCTATTCCTCCTCAGATTTTGAAGGGAGAAATTTGAGCTTCTTCCATTTTGCAAGCTTTATTTAACATAATCGTAACTTGCTAAAGACTTCAAAAGCTGAATTTTCATGCTACATACATTGAATAATTTGATTAATGATTTCCAGCTGTTTTGCACATAGTGCATCCTAAATTTGGGTTGCTTTACAAAGTGTTTTTTCAAAGGCTCAGGCATTTCCAAAATCTAACTGATGACAGGCAACACAGAGAGAAAATATAGACAGCCATGCTAAAATGTTTTAGCTTCTGTCACAAAAGTTTTGCGGATTGGTTACTTATATAATCTGTGTATGTATACAATTTTTGTAAATTTTGACAATTACAGTTTCTATTTTGATTGGTAGAATACTACAGCTTGTTTGGATGTAGTCATAAATTTTGCACACATCACAACCAATCCCAAATACATTTATGCTCCATATGTTTTTTAGTTGATAAGAGCATTGTTTTTACTACAATGCTGTGCTCCACCAACATTTGTATTCATATTCTCACCAACATTTTATCTTCAATGTTGAACTTTTCAACTAAATTTACAATGGCATTAACAATGTTAGATGTTTCATTTTTGACCAGAGAATGAACTTCCACATGTTTTATTTTAATCCTTTGAATTGGATGAAAAGCAAAATTGAGCCATTTTGGAATTAACAATCTGGTGACACTAATATAAAACTGACATTATTGGATGGTTTTCAAAGGGAATCAACTCATTTATTTACGAACACAAGAAAACTTGTAACTGAAAACAAGCAAAATGAATTTAGAAGAGTCATTTGACACAAATGGAAAGGTGTGTTTCACAATGACATAGAAACACACCTTCCTACACTGCGCAGGTTGAGTTGCCATCTTCAGGCACATTCTTATGAAAATAAGTGTTAACTGTGGAAGTAGATACCGATGTTTCCTCACCATATTTGTGCCTTCTGGTTTTCAAAGGGTCAGTGTTCATTCTACTTGCTCCTGTGGTGGATGGCAAATGTTGACAAATATTTTCTGAATATTTTGTGCAAGTTACACATTCGTCATTGGCTTTCTTAAGAAAATTAACATGTTTTGGTTTTGGTTTTTTGTTGAGCTGACTGCTGAAAAGAGTTGTCGGGGTGGGAAACCTCCAGCCTTGGGGCCACATGTGGCTTTCTGGATCCTTCAGTGTGGCCTTTTGACTGAATCCAAATTTTACAGAACAAATCCTTTTATTAAAAGGGGTGCAGCAGAGAAAGATGAAGCTTTTCTTGCCTCCTTTGGTACTTAAAAAAGAACAATCTTGAAATCAGAAGGCCGCAGGTTCCCCACACCATGTCAAGCAATCTATTTCCTATTTCTCATTGACTCTGAGGCTCCATGCATCTCACAGGCCACCACATGGACCATGACAGGGTATGAGTGGTGGCCAAGTGGCCAGCAGGGAAAAAAGCCTCAACATTTTTTCTGCCACCACCTAAGATCAGAGGATAGGTTGTCCCTGACTGGTGTGCTTGAGCTCTTAAGTTGAACAGCCAGCACCCCGAATATTATCCTTGAAAAGTTGCTGCTTAGTTAAATTTTGTCTGAACAGGATCAGGAAAAAAGATGAGCTACCATTAGTCACCATTTGGATTTAGCCATAATAAAGTGAGACTTCTGTTCATGGCGTGTGTTTTACACACTACTAGATGAGACTGTGGAAGAAGACAAAGAACCAAATAGAGGTCGGTTAAGCCATTGTTGGCTTACTTTAATGCAAAAATTAATGAGAAAACTTCAAAAGAATTGAAAACCAGGAGTAAAAGGTAAAGTCAATAGGATGTCAGAAAAACAAGCATAAACTCGGGTTTGTAAACCAGGACATATGGTCACACCACAACAGTCAATGTAAGACTGCAGCTTTTACAACAAATGAGATGGAAAGTCATTGTGGGGTTTTGAGTAGAAGAATGACAGGGTCTGAATTAAGTTCATTTATTTATTTATTTTTATTTGTGCAAATTTATGGGCTACAGAAGAGATTTTGGTCCATGTATATAATGTGTAGTGATCAAGTTAGGGTATTCAAGGTGTCCATCACCCGAGTACCATACGTTAAGTTTTAAAGGATGACCCTGGCTGCTATCTGGAGAGTGGACTGCAGAGGGGCAAGAGCAGACAGGTTAGGGAGCCTGTGGCTACAATCTAACAATGAAAACAAATACAATAGCTCCCTAGCAGGGAGATGAATGAATATCCTTAAAACCACGTGTATGTGCCTGGCGGAAAAAACAGTTAGGGGGGAACCTACCCCTGAGCTCAAATTTCAGATCTGCCCTTCTAGTTATTTCTCATATTGTACCAGGATGAATCAGAATATCTCAGTTCAAAAATACCAGCTATGAACAGTATCCACTTAATTCCTCTTACATTCATTCCATTCTCATCAATAACCTAATTATGATGTCGCTTAATGTGGACTTATCC